CAAACTGAACTGCAAGCAAGATTCTAATGGAATTTTGCAGCATAAAAGGACATCATAACAAATACAACTCATAGCTAAACAGAAATCTATCTGAATGATATGAAAGCCCAAATCCTACCTGGTTATAGTAAAGAAATTACTCATAATATTATTTGATAGGATTTAGCTTGTTTTCATAATTCTGATCTAATTCTGAAAAAAAAAAACCAACAAAAAACCAAACTTCAACATGTCTCCAGAACTGCTCTGCTATATAAAACTGTCAGCTTCAGTGATATGCGAATGAAGACATGTTTGTTGAAAGGATTAACAAAGTTGTTCAAAGCATCTTTTTAGTCTACTCTGCTTCCAAACAAACAATAAACTGCCTGCATGCAGTGAGATTTGCTAACCCATAAACATAGCCAAATGGAGGAAGAAGATCAGAACCTTAATGAGTTTGGCCTCTTTGAATTTTAGCTGATCAGTGTCACCAATAATTTCAACAGGCTCTAAAATAAGCACTTTCTGTCTTCAAAGTGCCTTGCAAGCATCAACCAATTAATCCCTACAACTCTCCACTGAGGTAGGTAAGTAGGTATTGTTATCCCCATTTTACAGTTGGGTGAACACAGTCAGAAGGGTTAAGTGATTTGCTGCAGGCCACAGATGGAGGTGGGATCAAAACACAAGAGTCACTATGAATCCTTTTAGAAGACAGCAGTTTTTTTCCTTCTGACTTTCCTGTGCTGACTTTAAATATCTTGGCCTTGTGACAATCATAAAGGAAACAACATAAATTCTTCTTGCTAAAAGCAAGGAACCTTAAAGAAATCTGTCTTTTATGCCAGTGTTGATAACATTTCAGCTGCCTTATACTGATGCGAGGCTTTTCCTTTAATTTTGTTCTGATATTCAAGTATCATTCCTTTCATACAGGGATTTATTCCTGTGGTAATGTAACATGCTACTAGTTGAAAGATAGCTGCTCCTTTGCAGATTTTGTTTTGTCTTGCTGCTTTCGAGCCAGTAAGTTTAGGTGGCACCCTGCCCATAAGGTAGGCAGACACTCTGTCCATGATCATGGTAACAGTTGGTAGGCTTGTTCCAGGCAGAAAGAAATGGAGCCGCGGAGCTTTGAGAACCAGGAGCAAAGCAAGCCATTAACTGAAACCCAACTCCAGCAAACCACTTGTAACCATTCTAACAGGCGTAAGATTGATACCTTTCCCACTTCAACAGAAAGATCAGATGGAAAAGGCAGAGTATATCCTTTTCCTCTCTCTGTATACGACTCCGGGCCACTTGAAGACCCATTTGTCATTAAGTCAAGCCAGTGCATGGTAATAAACATTTGAGTTTTATACAGAAACCACTTTTCATCTGGTGGCAAGCAAATCCACAACATCAGCTCCCCAGAGTATTTTTTAGAATAGAAAAAGCCACAACTCAAAGGTAATGTCTTGCAAATCCTGAGCACATTTTCTGTTATTTTTGTAGAAGACACTCCCCCCACTTTCAGAAACCTTCCAGTACAGGAATTGACACATACAGAGAAAATCACTGAACATTAGAAACTTATTAATTCCCTGATAGATAGTACAGTAATTTCAGCCATATTGCTGGCTATGTATTTTTAAGACACCATCATCTATGTTTCTGATAGGATAGCTCCATTAATGCTAAAAAAGGAATAACACACCATTGTAATTAATACACTACAGTGGTATTTATGTATTACATAAACCAGGCATCATACCTCGTTTGTGTTAGGTGTCACCCACAGACAATGGTGTCATCAAACTTTTATTGGACAGAAGTTTACTTTATGCAATTTATTTTTCTATTCTTGTGGATACTGAATCAAAAGGGTATTTTTCCATTAGAAAGATTTATTAGAAACTACTCTGCTCTTCCATGACCAGCACTTCTGTCTCTCTTCAGAAGACAAAAAATACTGGTTAATGATTCACAACACGAGGAGTGGTACTGTTAGCATAACAGTTTAAGACCACGTAGGAATTTGAATTTCAGAGAGCATGTTTTCAGTAACAGAAATATGGATTACACGGGTTCAGAAGGGTCTGATTCTCACAGTAATTCTGTTACCAGAAAAACGTGTAATACAAAACATAAGCTTGGAAATTGCTATTTGCTAGCTCTGTCTTAAGCAAGTTTGTAGCTCACTCTTAATTACAGGCTCTGAAGGAACAGCCTTCTTCTTTTATCACTTTGGAAATCATTAACTTGCCCTCAATGGTCCTGCATGCAACAAAGGAAGTTTTCACATGGATTTTCTAATAGGAGAAACAAAAGAGATTGTAGATAACAAAATAGCAGTGTGAATGACAGTTTTAGAAGACCTTCATCCAAACACATTTCAGTGACATCTCCTCAGATAGGGTATCAGTCCCCAAATTTCCTACCACTCAGCCTTAACACGCTTCAGGGCTAATCCATGGAACTATGTCATTCCTTAGTTCTGGATTTCTTATGTTTTCTCTGGACACAAACAGCTGAGTCACTGTCCCATATCCCATTAATTAATGGAATCTATTTTCATGTAATGCACTTTGCTATTACAGGTCTACCTGCACCTGAAAACCAAGGTGTGATAAAACTGACTACTTGGGCTGTAATTATACTTGCAGTTCTGTGCATCAATACCCTACATGTCAATGCACTCCATGCTACACATTCCAATAAACAACAAACTCTCTAACTTGTCAAATAGCTGTAGAGTTCATGTATATATATATATATATATATATATATTTTTTTTTTTTTTCTCATCTGCAACCATTGCCACAACCTACCTGCAGTACAATCATATTTTAATGTCCTGCATTGCATACATAGAGAAGGAGCAGTGTTTAATCTTCTATGCCCCTCGAAGATGAGAATAAGCTCTCCATAAAAATACATCTGTCATCTATATGAATTTCTAGCAAGGTAGCAAAGTCATTTTCTCTAAAAGGCCACCTCTCATATATGCAGCTCCATGGCCTGATTAGTTTTTTAGTACCTACTCAATATGCGTATTTCTGAAAAACATTTTTTTTTTTGCAAGTTCAATAGGCTGGAGAGCCTTTCTAGCAACATACCCTTGCTGAAAACCGCACAGCAATTGCTGGTGTCATGAGCTGCACATCCTCCATAAGTGAAAACGTGAAAGATTATTATATAGACATGATCCTACTCATCCATATGTAAAAAACCCTCATCTGCTTATTTATCTGCCTGGTCATAAATGATGATCAATATGGCTGGGCTGCACATTACTTGGGGCATGTATTTTCATATTTGTATGTCTAAAAAGTAGTGAACACATCACTAGGTTCTATGGAAAACAAGGAACAAATAGCAATACTTAGGATGTTGTCACAGTTGCTTTTAAAGAAGTTCAGGAGGGTAGAATTATGGTAACATAAGGTTTGGATTAGTATCTGACAATGTGGATTCAGTAGGAGTTACTTTCTTTCTGCAGAATTCTAGCATGTTATCCCTCTCAAATTTTTGTGGATAGAAACTCAAAGCAGATACTGAATTTTCTGAAGACTGCTAATTCCTGAGTTACAATCAATTAAAGTATCAATCAACTTCTATGTGATATTCTAGACCTGCTAACAAAATATGAATTACTATCAAATTAAGATGTAGTTGAAGTACATAATTGCATGATAGGTTATACCTTATATAACATGTTTTTAACACAGAAGAAAGATAATCAGTGCTATTAATCATAACCAAACTCATACTCACTGCAGTGTATGAGAAGGAGTTCTAAAGCTTTTAGGGGAAGAGGAAGTCTCATCAAATACCTGGCAATAATCTTTGCATCTAAAACTGGTGGCTAATTTGGAGCACAGAAACTGGTAATACAGGCAGTTAAGAATAAAACTATTGTCAAACTTTCATTTTATTCATCCCTTCCAGGGTAATTTGAGCATATCGTTATTACATAAAGAATGCCCTTCTCCCTCCTTCTTCTTTCCATTCTAAATTTCAACTGTAAAGGGTAAATCTATGTAGCTGAACCAATTCTTCCCAATATAGTTATGTGCTATGGTGTGAGTTGTGAGATTGAGGAGGGGACAAAGGTGATATTCATTATTCTGTTTTATTTTTCTTTATATTTGGGTTGGTTTTCCCCTTCACATGAAAAAAAAGCCCACAAAAAAAAAAAAAACAAAAACAAAAACCAAAAAACAGAACAACCAACAAAACACCAAAAAACCTCAAATGATTTACCAAGCAAACAGCGTTCCTGATATTAGTGGGCAAATAAAGAGCTCTGTTTACTATTTTTAGATGAAAAGACACTGATCATGCAAATCCCTAGTTTTATATTAAGTTGGCAGCATCATTATTTTGGCAACGGTTTATTTTCTTCCCGATTTCTATTGTTTCCTTAACAGATTTCCTGCAGTGTTCCAAAGCCTTTTGGAATAATGACCCATCGTCATATCTCAGACATGCTGATGAAGCACCTACAGCTCCTCACCAGACTTCTCACCCAAGGCCACAAACGCCAGAGGAGTTCAGTGGGCAGCCTGCAGCCTACTCACGTTGCAGCCCCTGAAAGGTCTGTATAACCTCTCTTCCCTGGGTAGGTACCATCCCCTTCTTCCTGCCTCTCCCACTAAACTGTGAGCACTGACTTTATATTTCGAAGGGTGTGCAGGACTTTTGTTCCACCATCACAATCCCTGGGCCGGTGGCTTCACTTAGGGCTCGTCTCGGGTACCCACGGCAACGCAGGGCCTGGCAACACACTTCAGAGAATTTTCTTGAGGGGAAATTCAAAACCCTGCTTGCATGAACACATCAATCGAAGGGCGGCAAACGCCCCTGTGAGGAGCAACGCCCCCGCGGGCACTCGGGGCAAGTGCAGGTCCCATGCCCTGGGGCGGCAGACAAAGACCGGTCCGAGGCGCCCGCCGGAGCACGGGTGCGCGGTGACACCAGCCGGGGAGGAGCCAGCCACGGGCTGCCCCGGGGCGGGGGGGGGCAGCGGGGGGGACTTATAAGAGTCGCGTCCCGCCACAGGAGCCGGGGCGTGTGTTTGGTCCAGCTGCGAGAGCAGCCGCTCGGAGAGGCGCAGCGGCAACAACAACAACCCGAGAGCCCAGAACCGTTAGATGGCTCAGAGCATGGACAACGGCCTCGACAGCCTGGATGTAAGTGCCGGGAGCCGAGCCGGCGGGCGGGACCGCGGCTGCTGGCTGCTCGACGCCGCTGCTCCGCGGGAGCGGCAGCCTCCGCGCCCCGCCGCTCCCGCACATGTGCACGCTGTTTGCAAACAAAGGTGCCCTCGGCAGGGACCGCGGGCGTCGGCGGGCGGGGATCGCCCCGCGGCGCGAGGGGAGCGGGTGACGGGAGTCGCGGAGCCGGACGCCGCCTCTCGCCTTCCAGCCCTCGTAAAGGCGGGGGTCCGTGGTGTGCGAACGGTCAGGGCTCGGCCCAGAACTCGTGCCTCTGCTGCAGCGCTTCTGACCTTGCTACGACTGCAACCGCTGCTGGACCCCTGCTTCTTTGCTCGGGCTTCGCTGCTTGGCCGTCAGCTGAAATGACATGCGGCGTCTCTGTGCGCTGAAACACTCCGGTAGAAGGGTTAGAGACACGGGAACGATAAGGGAGGGGGGAAACCAGCGATGAAGTTTGGAGTCATCTTGACTCCAGGGAATGGCATCCCTCTGCCCGGTGCCCGTCCTGAACGCGGGCACTGTGGGGCCGCGAGCGGCGTCCCCTCGGGACGAAACAGCCATCTCCCCATCTTCTGAGGGCAGCTGTTCTGCCACGGGGCTTTCAGAGTAGTTGGGAGCAAACCGGAGATCTCGGGCAAGTCTCAGCTTTAATCCACAGTGATGCCCGAGCGGAGCTGTTGCCCCGCGTGTGCGGATCCTCGGGCTGCATCCCGCACGGAGGTCAGGAGTTTTTGGCACGCGTGGAAACTACAGTCTGAAAACCAGAGGAACTGTACATAGCCAGGTGGCACTCGCCCGCCTGCATTGCTTTTTAGCGCGGTAGCCAAAACCGTTGGTGGTTTCCTGATGTGCTTTCATGCCTTCACCAGAATTTCGCTTCCTTTTTCCACTGCCGTACTTAGTTAAGCCCGCTCTGCCCCTGCCCTGCACCGCTAAGGGCGGGCAACGCTCCCATCGGGATGGCCCTCCATGGGGTTTTGAGCTCCCCTGCCTAGGGTCACCTCTTTTCTTTATGGGCTTTGGGGACTTTTTTTCCCTGGCTCTGTGTGAGAAGCTGTCAATTGCTTCTCAGCAGGGAATTCTTTATTACATCAGCCAAGGGTACCTTCTCCGTTTTTTCTTGATCCCATCGCCTTAATGAGAAGGGGCTTTGGAGCAGCAGCATTTATTTCTCACTGATGTTTTTTATAGCTCTCTCTTGTAAGAGTTAAAACGTCCTGGGTAATATTCTGTGCAGACTAACCTCTTGCATCTGGCACTTCTGGGCTTTTCCATTTGTAGTATGTGTCTGATTAGAGTACTGAACTGTCCAGAAACAACAATATTTCTGGGAATAGCCATTACTTCTCTTTTACATGTCATCTCCTGCCCTTAGTTACAAGATCTTGCTCCTTAGAGAAAGACAAAGGAAGTTTTTTAACTTATTATTTGCTGTATATTTTAAATATATGTGTGTGTGTATATATATAAACCATGTTTTTCCATCTGGTTTTCAAAAAGTTTGCCTAATCATGATGATGGAGACTTCTCAGGCAACTCTAAACATACTGTCATAGTATGCTTTTGCAAATGAACTAACATCTAATATTTTATTTTCTTGTATTTTAGCTGTCCTCTGGGTTAATAATTGAATTTTCTGATAATGGCACGGATGAGGTTGGTTCAGGTGACTATGGAGACTATGGAGAGCCATGCTTTCAGCATGAAAATGCCGATTTCAACCGGATCTTCTTGCCAACAATCTATTCCATCATCTTCCTAACGGGAATAATCGGCAATGGATTGGTTATTGTTGTTATGGGCTACCAGAAGAAACAAAGAAGCATGACTGATAAATACAGGCTGCACCTCTCTGTGGCTGACCTCCTTTTCGTCATCACCTTGCCATTCTGGTCTGTGGATGCAGCCATTAGCTGGTACTTTGGGAATGTTCTGTGTAAGGCAGTTCATGTCATTTACACAGTCAATCTCTATAGCAGTGTCTTGATTTTGGCTTTTATAAGTTTAGATCGTTACCTGGCAATAGTCCATGCTACCAACAGCCAACGACCACGAAAGCTGTTGGCTGAGAGGGTGGTGTATGTGGGTGTTTGGCTACCAGCTGTGCTTTTGACAGTGCCTGATATAATTTTTGCCAGTACTAGTGAAGTAGAAGGAAAATACCTGTGTGATCGCATGTACCCTCATGAAAACTGGCTGATTTCTTTCAGATTTCAGCATATCTTGGTAGGACTTGTCTTGCCTGGTCTAATAATCCTGACTTGCTACTGTATTATAATATCTAAGCTGTCACATTCGAAAGGCCACCAGAAGCGCAAAGCCTTGAAGACAACTGTTATCCTCATCCTTGCCTTCTTTGCCTGCTGGCTGCCATATTATATTGGCATCAGCATTGACACATTCATCTTGCTAGGAGTCATCAGACACCGTTGCAGCTTGGAGACAATAGTGCATAAATGGATCTCTATTACCGAAGCTCTGGCATTCTTCCACTGTTGCCTGAATCCAATTCTGTATGCCTTCCTGGGTGCCAAGTTCAAAACATCAGCACAAAATGCCTTAACATCAGTTAGCAGAGGATCAAGCCTCAAGATTCTTTCAAAAAGCAAACGTGGGGGACATTCTTCTGTTTCTACAGAGTCTGAGTCTTCAAGCTTCCATTCCAGCTAACGCTGCTCCTTGCCATCAAAATAGACACTTTAAAGTTGCGCAAGACTTCAGAAAAATAAGACTGACCATAATGTACAGATTTATTTACAGTTGGGATTTTATTTTGTTTCTTTTAGTCTCTGTGAAGTTTAATTGACTTATTTATATATAAAAAAACCTTTCATATTGATGACAAACTGTCTAGGCAGGTCCTGCGGACAAGTGGTTAGTTCATGAAAGTTTTAGTGCTGGTTTGTATGTATAGATACGTGAACTAAACACTTCTGGATTGTAGCAAAGTGAGTGTTAAAAGCTTAGAAAATATTTCTCTGTTGTTTATATGTAAATGTTTTCAGTGTTGCTGTTAAATTCTTAAAAAGTTGGCTGGATATTTTTACCTTACTACAAGATGTTTGGTTTACAATAGCTTAACTCTGCTGTAGAAATGGCACTTATAACCAAAGCCTTTTCTGTTATATGCTAGGGGTTTTTTCCCCCCATTCTCAGTAATTGATGGTTTGCAAAACTTTCTGTTCAAGGTAAATAAAAGTATATGACAAAAAATTCTTGAGTGGTATTTGTATTTCTGGTTAAATGTTCTCAATGCTTTTATTTACAATTCTCAATGCACAAGAATTTCTTTGAAAATTGATGGTTTTTGCATGAAAACCAGGAAAATTAGTTTCAGGACATACGGATTATTCAGTTGACACCTGTGAGTTCTAAGTAATTTGTTTTTTCACCAGAATACATTTGATCTAATTAACATTATCTTTAGAATGACTTAAACTACCATTTTAAACAGAAACTTTTTGAGGGCAAAACATGAAATGAAAACCAATCTAAGCAATTGCTAAAATTTACAGCCTCTTAGGAATCTTAACTAAAATTACTTCCTGTGACCAACTTTTATGCCGTGAATATAAAGTCAATCCTATATTTCTTCTGCCTTTCACTGTGCTTCCAAATTTTTCACGTTAGTAGTAATCAAAAGTAGTTGAATCAAAGCCATTCTGCTATTTGATGTTTTATTTGGACTAGAAATTAGGTAATTGGTGTATCTCCCCTGTGAAAGATAATTTTTTTCTCTATAGAGCTTTCCCTATCCTGTCTACATCCAGATTTTGTTAAGATAATATAATCTTAACATTCTTTTTGAAAATCCAGGATGTGTACCAGTTCTCACCAGGGTTTTTTTGTTTCTTTTTCTTATTTTTTTTTTAAACCAGAATCAGCCAGATTAGAATTTCCAGTTGTTGTTAAAGTTAGTCGTATGTTGCTAGTATAGTGCATTCACAAGTAATGAATACCCCAGAGAACAGAGCCATGGAGAATACTCATATGTTCCCATATTAAAAAAACAAACAAACAAGCAAAAAAACAACAACCCAAACAACTTACTGATTTAGAAATAATTAACAGTTTGGAAGGCAAAAAGAAAAAAAACTACTAGTCACACAGAACTGGAATAAGCAACATGGGTATTGCAATGATATTACCCAGAAAGAATGTGCTTGGAGTACGGCACCCTAGTGATTTTGAAGCATGTACTGCTGTACTAAACTGTGTATTAAATTGGGATGGTTTATTTTAGATCTTTTCATAAATATTAGACCTTTTGGTTTTCAACTTCCCTCCCCTGAAAGGAGACTGCAACCCTGGTTACATCCTGCACACTTTCCTTCGCAATGAAGTAGCAGTCATCTGATTTTGTGTTGAGCTGATTCAGTTGCTGAACCAACACAAAATTAATCTGACAGGAAAAAAAAATAACTATCCAGCAATTTAGTGACTTGAACCCATCAAGCTCTACAAAAGTGCAAGACCTAGTAACTTTGAGCCAGGCACAGGGAGAGAAAAGTGAGATAAAAGGAAGAGGAAGCAGGTACCCCCTTTTAGCAATTAAACTTTCAGCTGTTACCTCTAATATGTATCTTCACTCAACATAAATTAACAACAGAAAAGATGCACTCTCAAGAAACAAAAGGTCTCACTTTCATCAGGTTGTTCCTCATTAACAGAGTGGAGAAATTAGGAAAACATAGTATAGGGGCAGAACTTCTTAAGTGGTTTATTTTTGCTGTTCATTTGTGTGTTTTCTTAATTTAGTGAGGCTTTCCCCCGTGAAGAATTTGTTGTTTTAAATGATTCTGATTTTCACCCAGCCCAATCAATCACTGTGATTTAATTGCACTTATAAAATACTTATTGGCTATCAACACACTGTTGCTTATTTGTTGAGGAAATGTTTAGAGCCCTTTAGCATTAACTTAGCTTTTATTTCCCATTATACTCCACTCAGCCAACTGTTACCTCAAGCAGAGATTTAGCAGGAAAGAGTAAAACAGAATAAACTCAGCAGTCCATGTTACTGCCAAAGACCACTAAAAGGACACTAACCAAGCAACAGAAAGCATTTGCTTAGAAAATAAATTAGCAAAATTAAAACATAACCCTTGGCCCAGAGGGATGAGACCTACATTAATTGCATGAAACTGCCATTGTTTTCAGTAGAATTAGTGAAACTGGACAGAAGAACTTGTTAAAAAGGAGTTCCAAGATCATTATGGCTTTGCTCCAGCAAGGAATGCGAGTCAAAAGCAAATTTTTTTTTTTTTAAATAATTTTATTTAAAATTTATTTTACTATAATATGTATTTGTACTGTCTACAAAGCAAATACTTGCAAATTGAATTAAGTTGTCATAAGGGAACATAGTAAGAAATTACGAATTCAGTTCTGTCCTTTTACCTCAGAGCAAATAAGGCAGATTTCTTCTAAAGCCACTGAGCTACTCCAAATATACCATGTTTGTAAAAAAAATATTAATTTATTCCCCTTTAAAAAAAATCACCTTTAAGCTGATTTTTCTTGAGGCTATGACTTTTACATCTTTGTGAGTCAGAAGTAGTCCCAGTAAATGCATTTCTTACAATGTAAGTTAAGTAACAAAGGTGAATAGACCTAATCTTGTAATTTATACATAGGACAAGTCCACATACATCAAGAACTTTCCAAAGTTTTTGAAGAGACTTTCCAAATATTTTTCCAAATTATTCCTCTCCAGTATACAGAACGATCATTAACAACATTCTTCAAGATACACTCAAGGCATAGTCTCAGCCTTTTCCTCATGTAATAAAATAATAGCTGTGCCCAAGTAATTTTAAGCATGCAACTCAAGATACGGAACAGAAAACAAATGTGAGTATTCGTTACAAAACAGTTAAAAGTGTTACATGGTAATTTAAAAGGTTTATAATCTATTTACAAAGACTCTTTCTACAGAATTCAGGCACTAAATATTTTGCCATGGTTGTTAGAAAGTGCTAACAGCAATGCTGGACCAAACCAGGAATATTCACCTAATACTATAATGCACATGTTTTCAGTGTTTAAGATTAGTTAGAAATCCTTTGGACCACGCAAGGCTAAACCAAGAACAGAATATGTACGTGAACTTACTTTTGCTTCCTCTGAAATGCTGTTTGGAAGTAAAGTCAGAATACTTAAAGCAGTGGGATAAAATGACACTATAATCCATTATTTTATGGTATATTTTTACTCTACCTAATCAGGTTGTACAGAGTCCACATTAGAGGAGCATGTGAAAAGACGAAGGGAGGTAATGGGGGTGTTGGAGCTAATGTATGCAGGCTATAGAGGGCAGTGAATAAGGTGGAGTTCCATGTCTTTTCTTGGCTAGTCTTATGACACAATCATTATACAGGGGTTTGAACTTCTATGCATATATATATAAATCAAAACAAAATCACCACGAAAATAAAAAGGAAGTAGCAGTAATAACATGAAGCCATTCATACAAGTGAATGGTTTATCTTACGATGGTTGAGCTCTAGTTGGACAATGTACAAAGTGACCACCTCTAGATGTTTGGTTGAAAAGCCCATTTTTCACATTGTTTTGGAAAGGAAACAGCATGACGAGGAAGCACTTCCTTGATCCAGGCATGCCTCCAAAATCCCTTAACAATGGAGTATTCTCATATTCCCATAGTACTGAAACTTAGGAAACACTTAAGCAGATAGAACACTAGAGTTTTTGCCGAAAGGATGCCACTCCCTCACTTTATGTTTTGAAAGCACTCTTTTACAGACTCTTTCACAGCCATAAATCATGTCTCAATTGAGCATTGGGATTATTCCTTACAGAGAAGGCACAGATTTCTTAAGATTTTTTTCTCTCTAGGCAACAAATTTTCTGCCACTCTTTTAATTTTCTCTGAAAATCTTTACTCTTTAACAGGATGAAGTTTAAACATCAGCTCTGTTACTATCTAGTTCTAACAGGACACACAGTAAAACAATGCTATGCTTATTGTTTTTTAAAACATATTTTTATAGCAGCTGACTATAGGTGTACTTTGTGTTTATTTGTATATATTTTTAACATAAATGTATCTACATATATGTAAGGATGTAGATTATAAGCGCCATTTTCAGTTGTTGAAAGAGGTGATCCAGGGTTCAGCACAGCTGCTACTGACTTCAGAGGAGTCAGGATTCATTACAGATGTAACGGGTATTGATTAAAATTACCATTTTCTTAAAAGGACAGGCAGCTTCAGTGACAAACTCTCACTGAATTCTGAGGCAGCTGGGTACCTAGAGAACTATTCTTCCTAAAGTGTGTAACCTTATAGCCCAAATCAACTACAAATGATGATTACGAGTTCCTCTGATTTCAGCTGCAGTCAGAGGTCTACAAGAAATTAAATCTTTCTGTATGGAGCAGGTGGAATTGTTCTGATGAACATAACAGAAATAAATTTTCAGCAAAATGGTTTTCCCTTACTGAAAGCATGCAAGCTTCGCATACCCGACTATCAACAGTCTGACAGTAATTTGTCTGAAGTGGCACAGTGTTTGAAAGAAATACGTCAACATTTAAAATACCCTTATCTTCTGGTATTCACACCAGCAACAGATTCTCACCACACAGACATGTCAAACTAAGTAGAAATTATGAGGTATTTTTTGAAAGGTTACATTGTGAAGAGTTTTTTGGTGCCTGTTTTGGTTTGGGTTTGGTTTGGATTTTTTTGCTGTGGATGCTGCCTTTTGTTTCTACTACCCTTTTCTCAAACCTTCTCTATTTTACTTGACATTTCCTTCAAAAATATACCATTATAGATTTTTTTAATGGCTCTATTCTGTTAAGACTACACACAACACCCTGGACAAGTAAGAAAAACTAAAGAGACTGCTCAAATGAAAAATATAGCCTTCACCACAGTTTCTATGTCTTCTCATGTGCATTTCCCTTCCAACATATGCTTTTCTTTAACCAAAAGGTAAATTACTTCTAAATCTTATGAAAAGTTTCAACTCAGATGTTGGGTTTATTCTCAAGTTTCTTGAAGTGCAATCACAGCACACGTTTGGTTACTTTCTTGGATCTTTTCTATTCAGTACTCTTGGATAGAAGTGATCTCCCCAAGAGAGGTCTGAATACAAAAAGATGAGGGGACTCGTTACCTGCTTGCCAGTGTCATTGCTGATGCCAATGCAGCTACAAGAACATAGGCTGTCCATAAATTTGCTGTCCCTA